CTTAGCGGTCGTGCTAAGAGTTGGGTGTACACGCGGGAGGCGACATCACCTGGATGTTTCACATCCTGGGCTCAGCTGTGCGAACAGCTGCGAGCCGCGTTCCTCCGGACGGACTACGAGCACCGACAGCGTTCGCACTTCCTCTCATGCAAGCAAGGAAGGCGCGAGCTGCACGAGGTCGTCCAAGAGATACGGGAGCTCACGACGTCCCTAGTGGGCGGCCCACTTAGCGTACGCATCAAGATGACTGTGTTCATGGACGGCATTCGAGTGGGACCGGCGGTTCCGGGTGCAGTCAAGCACCCTTGAAGAGGCGATTTAAGTGGCTCTTCAGGAAGTATACAGCCCTCGGCAGGCGCGCACGCCGGCCTCAACATGGACAGGACATTCTGTGTCGAATCTCGGTTTAGCAAACCCCACCGGACCGGCTCCCATCGAATTCGGGTCCGCCGAGCAGCGCTACATTCGTTGCTTCGGTTGGGAAAAGCTGGGACACTTCAAGCGCAAACGTCCCGCGGAAAGACACTGCAGGCGGACTTTTCCCAAGCCCGTCCTCAAGGGACGCTGGCAGAAGCCAGGATTCCGGGGACAGGGGGACGCTGGATACCAGTAGGGGCGGGGCGATCCTACAGGGGAAGGACTAAGTCTTCGTGAGGGGTTGCGGGTGACGCGCGCCACGGGTACTTAGCCCCTGAGGATCTTCGTACTCTCAAATCGGCGAAGAGCAGCGGCGGGCAACTCGTATTACACGGATGTGTACGGGGATTCGGTCGCCCCTTTAAAATCTAGATCGATTCTGGGGTGTCGAAGAATTTTGCACGCCGCTAGACGGTTGCTCGTAATAGCAACAAGTTGTCTGATGTTTTGAGAGAAAGCAATGCAACGGGGCGGTGTAAGTGCGATTGGCCGACTGAACGGTCGTCACTGTCCCCAACGTCCAAGTGGATCTGGCTGTCAAGTTGTTAACAGCCTAGAACAGTTTACAGTCTCGACATGGATCCCTACGATTTGACCGTGGGCATGCCCTGGCTCGAGAATCACGAGGCCTATATTACCCGGCGAGGCAAGGCAATCGGTGCCAGCCGCCCAGCGAATCCTGACAGAGCATTGGTTAGTCATGTTCCCACCTCTGTCAGGACCGGGGCACCTGCAAGGTTTGCCAGGGTACCGAATTATCCAGCAGATGCTTGGTAGCCGTCGACGTATATGAGAACCCCGAGGACGCTTCGGTGGTGGCGGCGCTAGGAGGCGCCGGCCAAGTGGGTAGCTTAGGTACACAAGCGGGAAACATAGTTCCGCAGACAGCTGCAGCTGTCACGAACGCTGGTAATAGCGTGTACAAGGAGGGTAACAGAGTTCCACACACGGTCGTTCACGCCTTTACGGAAGAGGACAACGACGGATACGCTTCCTGAATCGGGAACACAGAACCACACGAGGTCGCCCAGACCATAACTAAGGAGGAAGACGCGGGGTGCGCTTCCTCTGTGGGTAGCATAGCACCTCGGATGTCGGAACCACGACATCCCCAGATGTAGTGGGCGAAGTTCCACGTCACGGTCCGCGTCGACGTCGCTTCAAGTGATTCGGTGTCGAGGGCCCGGGCTCCTTCCACACGGCCGGTGAAAGTGTGTTATCACATCTTTTATTCCGAGACCGGTTTACCCGTCAAGGCATCTAGCATCCACTTGGCACCGTTGCCAGAGGTTGCAGAGATACTGAACCACGAGGACATGACGGCCGAGGCTTTTGTGGCCCACCCCAAGGTTAGGGAAGTTGCCGAGATGGTGCTCATAAGATCTGAGGGCACTCTTGAAAACTTGAGCTCCTCCTCTTTCTTGGGCAAGGACGCCCTAGACGAGCTTACCAAACAGCTTCATACACGCTTGGGCTCTAAGATTCTAAAGAACCCCAAGGATCCGGTGAATCCTTTGGTGAAGGAGTATGCGGACGTGGTGAACAAGCACCCACCGACCCAACTCCCACCGGATCGAGGCGTACGGCAAGCGATCGATCTCGTGCGTGACACAAAGTACTGTGTCACAAGACAATTGCCCCTTTCACTCGAATAGTGCGAGATCATCGATGCCTTCTTTGCTGCGAAGGCTAAGGAACGCATGGTGCGAGAGTCAAAGTCCCCACACGCGACGCCACCTTTCTGCATTCGGAAGCCGAGCGGAAAGCGGCGTCTCGTTCACACTTATAGCAAGCTGAACAACGCGACGGTGCCGTCCCAGACATCAATCCCACGAAAGGATGTGTTGTTGAGCAACATGGCCGGAAGCGTACTATACCGTGCGCTGGATTTGGTAGACGGGTACTACCCGATCCGGATGCACGAAAGCGACATCCCGCTCATCGCGGTGAGAACGCCAAGCGGCATGCATTGGGAGTGGCTCATCATGCCGTAGGGCTTGGCTAACGCCCCTGCGACATTCAACCGCCTGGTGACGCAGCTGTTCAGGCCATTTTGAGCCCTCGTACAAACGTACTTCGACGATATATTCGCCCTTAGCCGTGCCGAGGGAGGCAAGACAGCTTTGGGGGTGCATTTGGGGCACCTCTGTCAAGTGTTGGACGTGATGCGAGCGAACAAGCTCTACGGCAACATCGACAAGTGCGTCTTCGCCTCACCAGAGATCAATGTTCTCGGTTGCTTCGTCAGTAACGTGGGGGTTTGGGCTGACCCAGACAAGATCCAGGCCATTGCAGCATGGCCAACGCTTCGATTCCAGAAGGATTTTCGAAAGTGGTTGGGATTGGCCAACTACCTTCACAAGTACAGCACCGGGTACACGAGCCTCGCTTAACCCTCGTCGGACCTCGTTCAGAAGGACGCCGACTGGAGATGGGATCAAGAGCGCCAGGATGCCTTTGACAGCATCAAGGCCGGTCTCCAAGAGGCTTCTGTCCTTACCCTGCTGGACAAGACAAAGCCGTTCAGCGTCGTCAGCGATGCCTCCGACTAATCCATCGGTTATGCATTGCTGCAGGCCAACACGGCTGGACATGTTCGAGTCATCTCGTTCCAGTCCAGGCGGCTAAAAGTCGCCGAACGGAGCTACCCTGTCCACGGCAAGGAACGCCTGGTAATGGAGTATGCCCTTGTGAAGGTTCGGGTTCATCTTCTGGGCTCACGGCTCTTTGCGATCTACACAGACCACGCATCATTGAGGACGGCGACAAATTTGCCTCACTTCTCCCAACGAATGGCGAGGTGGCTGTCCTTCTTCGCGCAGTACAGCTTTCGCGTTGAGTACAGCCCGGACAAGTTCAACGTGCTTGCGGATGCCCTCTCCCGGCGTCCCGACTACGAGTTGGCCCCCCGCACACGGGTGACAACGGATCCATTTGATCGGATACGCATGGCGTATCGGGATCAT